TCTCAAATAACATTTCAGATTTTATTGGCCCATTAGAGGGAAGTTTTTTTTTAGTGAGGTAGGTTCTTTTACTTTGTCATACTATCAACCATATATTTTACAACCAAGGGTACGGGTATGACTTGTGCGACATATGCATCCCCAAAAATGAACAATAAACAAGCAGCCATCACCTAAGCTATAATATGGAACACAGTTTGCTGTATGCATTTTAATATGTTTATGTCAGTTATTACTTATTAAGTAAAAGCTGTTATAGAGCTGAGAGGTTGTAGAATGGAGGAAAAAAAGCAATTACGGCTGTGGTTGGAAAAATGTATTTACTATTACATCCCACCTCCTGCTAATTATTAGTGCTGATCTTTATTTAGTATTTGCTCAAGCAAAGTGACTGCTAGACAAGAGTGAAGGCATTTTTTTATCTAAAGCCCATTTCCCACTGAAAATATGCCTTAGAAACTGTTTTCCAGTTTTAGATGTTTTGGTAATAGCCTAACTCCCTTAGGCTATTATGCTTCGGTTTGTGAGAAACTATGTGAGAATCTCTCCCTGTGCCTCTTAAATAGTTTAAGATAGTTTAAGATAGGGATTCAGAACAAGCAGGGATATTGACAGCAATGTATCTGTCCTCCCTTGCAAGGTAGTTAATAAAATGCTGGCTTTATTTAGAAACACTGGATCTCAATTTCTTGTTAAGTAAGATATTTTCTTTCCGTCAACATACCTATAATTAGCAATTCCCCCATTAACATTAAATTAATCTGTTGGACATTTCCTTATTTTATAGATTGGTACTTGCAGATAGTTCACAAGGGACTCCTAATGGCTTTCTTTCATAGATGATTTTCCTTTTTCAACACTTCCATTAAGGACAACATGTTGACCTTCCACCTGAGCCGTAGATCTCAATGGCCTCTCCAGAGTTAACTTTGACCTCTTCTCTAATAAAGTCTCACCTTGACCTGTCTGTTCATTAAGATAGATGGACGGGTCTTTGCAGGTTTATGCCTCATGCCTTCCATTGCTAAGATGATAAACAGTGCTCCAACAGATGATCACAGCAATTATTTCCCCACAAATTTCTCCCATAACTCTTGTATTCAGAATACCTGTCCAAAGTCTGTCCTCGAGGGCCACCGTCCCACAGGTTTTCAGTGTTTCTTGACTTCAGCACAGCTGATTCTGATGACTATAATTCAGCTGTCAATCAGCTATTAATGGAAACCAGCTGTGTTGAAGCAGGAAACCTGCAGAACAGCTTTGGACATGCCTAGTCTTTATGATGCTTGCTTGTCAAAAAAATCTTCTATATTGACCCTCTGGGGCCTTCTGGGAACAACTGAATTTCTACCAAGATTTACACACAGGTGGGCAAATTGGGTAGCTTACAAAAGTTAGTTTCATTGCTAGACTGTATAAAGGGATAAAAAAAAAGCCACACCCTAAAAAAATCTGAATACCTTCTATTTCCGTTCAGTGCTGGGGTATCATATAGGATTGTGATAAATACATGGAAGATTTTGTTATTATATGTAACAAAAATTATTAGATATCATCTAGTATAAAACATCTATGGATCATGTTTTAAATGTTATTGGTATAATATTATTTTGATGAAAGCTTAAAACATTTAGAATGAATAAATTTTTGTATATCTATGGATTATTACTGCATGTTAAAATTTCTTAGAGAATTTAAAGAATATTGAAAGAAGATTATGAATCCCTCTTTTTCTTTGGCACAGAGGATGAACTGTATATTTTGTTGGTAAAAAAAACAGGGAACGAGAGATGTAAACGGGATGCAAATACACAACTTTGCAGTAAATGCACAAAAGAGACTTAAAAGACATAAAAAAACACATGCAAAGGAAAAATAAGTGCAAATGTGAAACGTAAAAGTGAGAACATGCTGCAAACACAAAACCCACTGCAAATATATAAACAATGCTAACACACAATACACATGCAAAGGAGAAATACAGCGAGTAGGAAAACTACAAGAAAAGATGCTACCTCCGCATAATTATTACCGTATGCTCCAGACCAGTAGGGGGAGACAATCATCAACACAAAAGCCAAGACTCTTGGTAAAGGCATAAACTGGATGTTTAAAGAGATTGTTAAAAATGAAAAAGAAAGGAAAACTCACCTTTTCTTTCAAAATATCTTCTGGACGGCATCCAGTTTGTTTTCAATGTATTCATTTGTAGTTAAGCCTGCCTGTGATCTAGTACCATAAATGGTGCATTGCCCAGTTTTGTTTTCCTTTGCATGCTTGCATTATTTATGTATTTGCGTTGGGTTTTGTATTTGGATTGTGCTCCTAATTCGCCTCTCTCTATTTTTCTGATATACAGCATTTTTTATTTGCAGCATTTTTCCTTTGGATGTGTTTTCTTTGTTTTTGTCATTTTGTATTTGCAGGACTTTTAAAATTTGCTGTGAATATGCAGGGCGTTTGCTCCACTCAGCCATAATTTTAACAATGTTTTGACTAATGCTTCCATAAATCTTTTATTTTAAATTGTGGACTTTTATTTATCTTGTATTCTAAAATGTAAATATTCTTTATTTCAATGTGTATTATTGCTAAAGAACAAGAAATATGACATGAGAATATAAAGATAAACCTTATTATAAATTAAACATCTCCCTGAGCTTAACTCACTGAGGTAAGCAACAGTTTTCTTTAAATATGTCCTTTTATCCTATTAAAAATGATGTGTTTACGCTTTAACATGTAAGCTTTCTGAGACACGTCCAAAGTCAAGTAGCTGAAGAGAAACTCAGAGCCCGGCCTTGTTTACACAACTAAGAGCTTGGCTGCAGCTTTGGGAGGATGTTGACCCATGAGCTGTCTGGTCACCAGAGGCACGCAGTAACAATTCCTTTTTTGGTGGGACAGGATAGTCAGCCAGTCTCAGCACAATGATTTGAAACAAACAGAGCTCAGAAATCTGACCTCAATAGTTTACTTCTGTGTAGCGCAGTAGGGGTAATTAGTGACGTTATTCTTAAATTTGCCATGGAAACAGAGAGAATCTTTTCATAGTTTGGTGTAATTGTGAAAATACAGCCCTGAGAATCAGTTTGCTCTACTGTAAGAATTGCAAAGTGGGTGGCAATTTGTTTCAGAAACAGTTTCAGTCCAACACATTTGGTGTTTTTATGTTACAGCAGGAAATACTAGAAAAAATCCCAGCAAACTGTTAACGCATAAGTGTGGATTTAATGTTTTTTTTTTTTTTTTTTGAAAACTCAAAACAACAAAGACATCAGTTCTGACAACTGCCACATCACCTCAGCAGGAGGCTGCACAGCCATGTTCATCCATGTAGATTTATTCATGAGTCAGATATAAATTCACACCTCATTTACAGCCACAAGCTAAATACACAATTGATGGTAAAGGCTGTTCATGTTGTTGCATGTAAAACATAAACGGCATTTCTTTAATTAAATCTGTAATTCAGTCATTCATTTCCACACACACCGAGCTGCAAATGACAAAGATATAAGATCAAATGGACAGTTAACTGCCTGATTCCTGCAAACCCACAGAATGAAGCTGAAACTCTGACTTAAAGCTCAGAGTCTGAATATGTATTTGCAAGCATATGTTTTACTATATACATTTATTTGACTGCCAAATATTTGCAAACACACAGAAAACACTCCAGTGATAAACGCAAAAGCCCAAATTCAGTCCATTAGAACTACTACCCTGAAACCTTTTAATGGATCCCTTCACCAACAGCAAACAAATTGAATAAATGTCATATTAGCAGTTCTCAGTAAAGCTATCTTATCAGATCTATGGAATCAGGAATGCATGAATGGCCTGTTTTAAGTCATGCCATGGGAAACCAATCAGATTTTAGTCCTAGCAGACTGTCTCCTTCAGGAACATCAGCCATTTCATGGTTTCCTCAGTTTTCAGAAATTTGCCTCTGACCATCACGCTACTATTATATATCATGGATGTTTGACTTTTTCACAAAAGCCGTGATCCTTTTTAAAAATTTATGGATATATATTTTTCGGTTTATGTGAGATTTATTATTTTTTATTGTTTAATTAATGTAAAGTCCTTAAAAGGCACACCATGGACTTTGTTACCTAAAGAGTTTATTCGTTAGCGCAGGATGAAAGGAGTATTGAAGAGTATTATCTCAGCTTTATTATTAGACTGGTAAGTTAACACCAAAGTGGCCAAAAGTTAGACAGTGTGCCTTTAAATAGTCTTTGTTGTGATTGCGCTGTTTAAATGTTTCTTTTTCTCTTGAGGACACCCATCTCTAATATTATTAAACCATGAGCATTGGTTTCAACTGCCTGTGGCCTTTACATGGTCTGGGTTCTTCAGCGACTTCTCGAACAGTTGGTTAATGGACTCATGGAGCAATCTTGGTGGGGAAGTCACTCAGGAGAATGTTCTCTAGTGGCTCCCTTTGTGGTTTGATGGATTTTGAAAGTTATACAAACTTTGTAGCACTTTTTAAATCAACACATGTCTTATCTATTTTAGATTGAGTTAGAATGCACTCCAAAGTCTTAGCTTATTATTCCATTTTCTCAGACAGGTTCCTTTAAAGTGACAGGTCTGGCAGTAACGGTAAAGCTGAATTAAACTGAGCAAAAAAATGTTACACATAATTACTTATTTCTCATAAGAAACACCTTAATTATAATTACTTTTTTCCCCCATTGTAATTCATTAGGTTATCAGTCTGATATGAAAGGTCTCTAACATCCAAAACATTTCTAAACAAAACAAGGCAAAAACAAAAGGGGCGGAATATTTTTTCACAGCACCGTATGACCAAAAATCCTAGCACAAAGTCATCATACAAGTACAAAATAATCCCCTTGACAAAGACATTGTAAAAAAAAAAAAAAAAAAAAAAATATATATATATATATATATATATATATATATATATATATATATATATATAATAAAATGAAAAGTAAACAACACAACCCCCTCATACAAACTAAAAGATACAGGAATTAGTTGTAAGGCATTGAATATCATCATCATCATCATCATCATCATCATCATCATCATCATTTTTTTTTGGCATACAAATCCTGTACAGCATGAAAAGACATAAAAACATTACTTTTATACAAATCATGGCAGTTTCATTGAAAAGGTATTTGGTAAGGAATAATGGTGACGAATGGTACAAGAACTAAACCTGAAATTTTCATATTCAATTTAATTGTGTGGATCATTTACTAATTAATTAATTTAATATTTTTTATCCTTGTCTATTCTGCATTATATAATTGTTGAACCCTTATTCCTAGTGCTTAATATACTAAGATACTTTGGCAGAAAACAACAATAATGCCAGGATAATAAACCAGTTTTCTAATTACATCACGCTTTATGCAGCAGAGAAGACTTAAAATTCAGAGCACCAGCTATTAAAGTCTGTCTCTACTGTGGATATGAAAATACATTTTTAAGCAGAATATGATTTTATTTTAATTCTCTTAACTGGATTCAAAACAGACCCAAATAGACTCAAGCCATTTTTCTTGTATTTGAGTCTGTTTTAAGTGATTTTTTTTTTTTTTTTTTTACCTCTTAGGCCCTTTGCACTGTCAGATATTTTTAAGTTAATTATATTAAACCAAAGTAACCTACAACATACATGCTTTATAACATACATTTCTTTTTCAGCTGGCACAGTTACAAGTTAGTATGAATAGGTTGCCAGAAATGGATCTACCCAAGTCGTATCCATCTAAAAGCTCTTGACCCTGGTCTTAACCCTTTATATTTAAGTAACCATTTACTCACTGAAATGCAGTGTGGAGGATGACAAGGCAGTCAAAGGGTTAATCTGGAACCCATGAGTTTTTACTTTCAGTTTCGTTGTTTCTTGACCTCTGACATTTTTGGACGGACTTTCTGGAAACATGCCACTTTTTTTTCATGTGGAAGACAGTTTTGTGGCCCAAGTAAACAGCTCGAGTTGGTATTTTGAGACTTGTTAATTAATTAGTTTTGAAGCTTGAATAATGTGTTAGATCCCACTGGCAAGGATTTACACATTTAGGATGTGAGGAAAATTGAAGCATTTGAGGAAAGATGAGTCATTTTGGAAATATGTGTCTAAACAAGAACTAAAATCTAAAAAAATGTATATATACTAAGTGGTTATGTTATTATAAACAATATTTATTTTTATGAAATACAACTTCTGAACTTCTGCATTATATAGATGTTTCAGTTGAGAGAGACACTTTTTTTTTTGCAAATTAATGTGACATTTATTCACTCAATTTCCAGGTCAGCAGTGGACACCAATGTTAAGCCCATGATAAACAACTTTTAGTTTCAAGGTTTTTATCGTTATATAAAAATGGCCTTTTTGGATTCACAACTTTAGTTGATTTTTTATTTTATTTTATTTTGCAAATGAAAGATGCTGAAACATTAACACCGAGTTTATTCCAACAAAACATGAAAGCCTAAAATTTTAAAAACACACTAAATTCTCTCTTAAATAAAACAAAATCATATTTTTAATATCCAAATTATGTTCATATAAAAAAAATTCAGTCTGATGTCCAGTCTTTTTAATCTTTAACATCTCTGACACACATTGCTGTGAACTCATTATCATCGTAAAAGTCACTGTTTTCCTTCACTGTAGTTTTACTGCTGAATCTTAACTGGATCCATCAATGTGTTTGAAAAAGACGTGTCTCAGACATCTTGAGGGATACCCTGGTCTCTACAACCTGTGGAGCAAAGAAACATGGAGAAACTTATCATTTGTATTTATTACAACTAGAAAAGATTAAAAGCAGACAGTTTTGCATCAGCACACAATATTAGAAGCTCTTCCCATAGCACATACCACTTTGCTTAGGTGGTAAGTATCTAAGTATATGGAGTTTAAGGTTGTATGCACTCATGATAAGATAATCTAAATTATTAATTTTGTGATATAAAAAAATATTTATATATTCCTTATATAGCCCTTTTCAGAAGCTTAAAAAAAGTCTGCTTTCTTCTTTAGCTTTGATAGGTGGGTGTAATGTAATTTTCTTTTGGTTAGATATTAAGACAAGGGGATGTTGAAGAACATTGCCCTTTGTCTTCATTATTAAGCAAATATGCTCACTACGACTGCCAGCTCAATGCCCACGCCTCCTTGTTTAATAGCTGTTCCATCCAACTTCTCTGTTTTTTTTTTTACCCAAAAAATATTTGTGTCAGTTGAATAAAAAACATTCTTCCCCCAAGAATGTACTTGGCTTGCGGGCAGCTACAAATTCTGGTATAGTTTGAAATCTGGAGCAAAGGGCTCTCACATGGTGGATGGAGTGGCTTCTTGAATAGCCTGAATAATTCACTTTCATCTGTACAGTTTGGGTCAGATGAGGTGAACAGAACTGGGTGATCATAATATAAAAAACACATCAAAACTAGTTTTGATAAGATTAGGCTTCAGTTAGGCTTTAGAAAATTAAAGGTTCACATTGTTCATAAAAAAACAATATATTCATAGTTAATATTAATAGTTAATAATTAATAATGGTTGTTTTGCATTTTATGACCAGAGAAGGATTATCCAAGGAAGCTGCACTGTCATTCTACAATACATCCTAAGAGCTAACTTAACAGAACAAATGTTACCCGTAACATTTACGGTGACCTATTTTGTCATCTGTTGTTCTAAAGGAAAGGATCATTCCATCATTTAAAAATACAGAAGGTAAAAATGTAAGTTTTAAAACCTTAAAAACAAAGCATTACAACATTTTTATGAGGAAACTTTTGTGAAATTATGTCTCACATAATAGTTAGCGCTTTGTCTACTGAGTAAAACAATTGTGAATTATTATAATCTGTTAAAGGTATAGGGGAGGATGTTCTTTCTCCGGGTGGATCATCAAAATAAGTGGTCCTACGAATTATCAGTCATTCGGGTGATATGTTTACGTAAGGCCATCCTACGTGCTCATCTTTTTCTGCACATGTGCACTTTCAGGCATATATGTGTGGTGAGTTATTGCTTCAACAAGTCATTGAAGCTCTTCTTTGAAAGATGCAGAGTTGTAAGAGAAAAAGTGTCTACAAAGTGTATGAGAAAAAGAGAAGGGCCTCAGAAGACAGAAACAAGACCAGAGTGTTTTTGGGAGATACTTTGTAAGTGATGGCGTACACTGAAAGCACAGGTCAGGCTTCTGCTGATGCTTCGGTTGCAAAGTTTCTACATGACAGGTAAAGTTTTGCATTCTATTTGAAGAAATCAATTTCACATTATGGTAGTAAAAGCTTTCTACCTCTATATTGTAACTTTCCAGGGAAGAAAAGTTTATTTATATTGTAATTTGCATCGTTAGTAGTTATACAGAGATTCTTACTTATCCTGAAAACTTGTCACAATTTCCACTGCAGCTCATGCACACATACAAGCATGTCATGATTCTTTTAATGCACCAGTAGTCTTATTTGTGGGGAAACTTTTTATATATAAATATGGGTGAGATAAGATCCATCAGAGCAACTTTCTTATCATTGCGTCTCCGCACATCCTCGAGGAGAAACGGGCTGGTGCACGCTCTCGCACACTTTTAATAGGCATTCCCTCTCGGGAGCGTTTACAGGGTTGTGCATGTGCATGGAGAGGGCGGGTAGTTTCAAAAATGTATGAAAATCCTCCACTATACCTTTAAGAAGCTAGCCACCTAGCCAAATTTGAGTTATTGTGTGTACCAGAGGACATGTTATAGAATTGGTTAAGAAAAAGTCAAACCTACCTTCAGAAACTTCCATGAAGGAATGCGAGGAGAGAGAAAAGAGACAAAGACAAAGTTAGTCATAAATAATTTCTGCATTCATGTATCAAAAACAACGTTAGGGGGGGTGTTTAAAAATAATCTGACCTCATCTTTTGTAAACCAGATACATTACATCATCTATTAAAAGCATTTACAGGAACATAACTCTAGGTTACAGGATCAATGATCCAACGAAAACAGGGAGACTTAAAGTGGGGAAGGCGATAGGAGTAAAGAGAAAGGGATGCAGAGGGGGACAGGGTGTGAGGCCAGAGAGTGGGAGGAATATTATAGGAGAAGGAACGAGAGACCAAATAGAAAATAATCATTAGATAAAGATAAACAAGGATCAGTGAGGCAAGATGACTCCTAAATCATTATATATGGAGAGAGAATGTGAAAAGAGATCTGCAGACCAATCAAGGGGAAGGAAAGACTGATAAGAGTCCCATGGCTCTGATTAAATTCCTGGAAGCAATAAGAAAAAATAAGAGTGGAACTGAAAAGGAGCATAAACTCCCAAAGCTGCAGAGACTTGCATTGCAATAATGATCTGACACATAATACTCCAACCAAAAAAGCGGCATGAAAAGCCTCACCAACCAGAGAGTTCAATATGAACATACAGCTCTGCAGCATCTAACCGAAGCACAGATTTTAGCAGCAGTGGTTGAGAGGAGCCTTAGGGGTCTGAAACACTGTTGGAAGTCTTGTAAAAAAAAACAAAAAACACACACATCAGTGTAGACAGAGCTGCTCTTTCCAAACAGACACCAACAATCCCTGCACTGCAATCACAAACACACAATATGTCTTACAGGCTTGTTGGAGCTGATGCACTTTGATCGCACGCACGCAGCAACCACCTCACATCTGCACATCCATGCATGCTCACAAAGGAGGCAGCTGTGTACTAATTCAAAGGCTTCCTAGCCTCACTGAGGAGATAGGGACTCTTTCTGTGTGTTGGAGCTTGTTCTGCAATCATTCTTGGAGAAGAACAGCTGACTTTCTGACAGAGAAAGATGTTCAATTAGCACATCTTCCCATCTCTGTGTTACAAACTCTTGCTTTTTAAGTACAAGTGAAAATATTCATAAATAAACATGTTAAACACAATTGGGTCAACTAGAGGTAGCAAGTGCACTGGTAGTATTTTATTCTAATCATACAATGTAATAGGGGGTTTTCAGGTGACGTCACGCTCACGTGACTACTCAGTGCGTCCGCCATATTGGGTGGCAGCCTTAGGCAGTATTGACAGTGAAAAATGGTGAAATCGTGTGTAATTGTTGGTTGCACGGCCCGTGGAGGTGGAGATCAACGCTCTTTCTATTGCATACCAGCCGTAATCGTGAATCAATGTGAAAAAACAAAACAGCTATCTGAACAACGCCGTCACCTATGGCTGACACGGATATCCAGGTCCGATTTGGACGGTGTTAAGCTGGAATACGCCAGAGTCTGCAGTGCTCACTTTGTCACAGGTAATTAACTGTCAAGCATTTAAAACATGTAAGAATATATTAATAATAGGGCTTGGGCGTCATGACGTATTACTTTCCGTGGCCGCAATGTTGACTGCCTCCTCCGCCGCTACTCAGACTACTGCCTATGACTACTGCGTACTGGACTCCCTCTCTCAGCCGTGTTTTAATTTGATTAATTTCACCTTAACTTGATTTCAACCAGCGGGAAAAGGCTCAAATATGTGAGAAACCCGGAGGGTTTAGGGAGGTTTGGCAGTTAACGTTACTAACCAAACCTTTGAAACACATAGCAGCTAGTTAAAAGTACATTACATGCCTGAGTGGTTGTTAGCACTAACGGTTAGCACTGTTTGCTGGCTTTATGCGCTGCAGCTCCTGAACCCATCCATTCGTAAACTGCACATGAGACTCCAAGGACTTGTAGCTTTGGAACTGTTCGCGTACCGCCGGCCGTTAGCCACCTAGCATAGCGAGCCCTGCGTCGGATTGTTTACATTTTTACCATCTTATTAAAACTCACCCGTCCACGTATGACGGCGATTTCCTTCATGTACATCACTTCGACATCTCGTACCCAACCAGATGTGAACTGGTTGTGAGCCTCTAGACCCTTGTACGCTCTCATTTCCTCAAGAGTGTGCAGAGGGTTTTCACTGAACACCAGGTAATGAACTATGTCACCGTGCTCTACATTTGGCCAATCATCTGGATTAGTGCTAAACAAGGCACCGTGGAGGGCATTGGGTCCATATGGTCGATCACGGAACATTTCCTCAGATATGTTCCATGATCTGGTGGCTCTAGCGTGCTGGTGTACTTATCCATTTGCGACATGATATATATGATATACGATAATATGCCACCCAAGATGGCGGACCAGAAGCTGGCCAGTGACGTCACTGAAAACCCCCTGTTGTGACATATCAATTATACTGACATTGTACAAAACCCTTTCCAATTATTTTTCATTAAATGCTCATGACCAATACACCTATAACTCAAAATCCAACATTTGTCAAAGGAAAAGGGGCAGATCCTGCAGGTAAGGGTATTTTTATTTTGCTGACTAACTGAAAGGATTTACCAACACGTTGCATAATGTCAAATACTTCCTAGAAGCATAAACATTAAGACTCTTTTTGAGCTTTAACAGTCTGAAACCCTTATGTCTGCGTAGGATTTGTTCCAGCTAATACACTAAAATAAAATAGAAAGAAAATACACCAAGTAGAAAAGTTTAAACTAGAATTACGATGACATAAATTAAAATTCATAAAATTTCTGTAGCAATATTATTGTTCAAAACTCCTCCTAGGAGAGAAATGGTAATACTAAGAGAAATAACTTGTTACCAGATGCATCATTTATGGGTAGATAGTTAGGATATCTAGAGGGAGAGAGAAAAAAAAAATGCTTTTGGGGATTTTTTTTTCTCCTTTACAGGATGAAGTTAATATATATATAAAAAAAAAAACTTAACACTTTCTTTCAAGAATAAAATTAAATGTAGAACAAAGTCTGTTGAATGGCAGAATAAAATGAAGTCAAAATAACGCTGAAAGTGATGTGCCTTTTCCGAGCAGGTTTAATGTGCATCAGTCCACCACCTGAGTCTGACTAAACAGGATGATTATATGCTTGAAGAAAAATAAAGCAAAAAAACTGCTTTCCTAGCCACATAGGTGTTTTTGCAAAAGCCTGGTTTGGATTGAAAGGTTACAGTTTAATCCCAATATAGCTGATTTATTTCTTCCTATTTCAACAAAGCTGTGACCTGCTTTCTAGCCTTTATGACATTTCAACGTTACTCTCAACTTTCTGACGCAGGTAAGTGATTTATGGATGAAAAAAAATGTTATTGTCTAAAATTCACTTCTTAGTTAAGTGTTGTTTCATGTTAATGCTAGGGGATGCCTGTTCTACACATACGTGGATCATATTGGAAATGTTTTGCTGCGATCTAGTGGTAAAAGTTATGCCCAAATATCACTAATTTAGCTCACTTCTTAAAAAAAATTCCAATATTATATGTAAGGTACAGGTTCTACTCGAAGTTGTTTTTTTTTTACTAAAATTGGACATTTGTCAAGGAAACTGAGCACCAGTATTTATACCTTAAATTACTCCTGTGAAATAATTATGTATTATATATAACCCCTATCCCTACGTAAGAACCATGAATTTATGCATATTCATTTTCGTATGATCACTAAACCATTAAAACAGACATAGATGTAAATGTATCTTCAACCTATAAACTTAAAGGGAAATGCCGTTTTTTTACATTGGCGTGTATGACGTCATCCGCACGCCAGACTGGAGTTGTGACAGGCAGCCCGGGCCACAGGCGGCTACGCTCTACCCCTTCTATTAATTCGGCTAGCTAATCTAAATCGTTCAATTCCATTTGGAGAGCAAGATCATCTGTGGTAGTAGCACTAGACATCTTCCAGACATGTGAGTAAAACTAGCAGCAGTTCAGCGGACAGGATGAATGAATGGTAGCCGGTGCGCACGGATGACATCATACACGCGCCGCTTGGTTTTTAAAAGATATAAATATAAAAAATATAACCACAGATGTCTGGGGGACAGTCGCCTACATGTTATGAATGCTGGCGTACCATAAATGATAAATTACGAACAGTTTAGTTTGTGCCTTCAAGTTGTTGCCCATAGGAAGATGTTACTTGGATATAACCTAACGGAATATCTTCAGAACGGCTCCAAATGACACAAAACTCATATGGGTGAGTAGAACATGATGTAATAATGTAAAATCAAGGACCCAATGTAAAAAAACGGCATTTCCCTTTAAGCGCTTTGCCTTTTCATAAAAATTATAGCAGTGCAGAGCTGAGTTATTCATGCTGTTTAGGCTTTACATTTATATAACTATATGTGATGACACAGTGACAGTAAAATAAAAGGGTAAAAAGTGACTCAAAATCATCTAAAAGGAAACAGAAGAAAGAGCAGAGGGAAGATAAATGCAGTTACTGACTCGCCAGGATGACCATGTCCATTCCCCAGAAGATGCTCATGATCCATCCAACCATTATAACGGCTGTCAGGATCTGGATGAGGGCGGCTGCCACATTGAGCCAGAACACACAGCACATGCCTCGCTCTGAGATCAGCTCGCTGCGCGCTCCACACAGCACAGTGAACGCCGAGACCAGAGTTCCTGCAACATAAATAGAGATAGAGAGAAAATCTTAAGCCGCATAACTTATCAAAAACATGAAGTTGATAATCGCTGCAAAGTCATCAAACAGCAGCACTTATCCCTTCTGTGTATTTGTCTTTGTGATATTTGTGGACTGACATGACTGAAGGCTTTTAAAGAAGTTTTCCACTCTGGTTCATTTCTGGTGAGTTATACCAAACAACTGTCTGGTCTGGGCAATAGACCAGAGAACTCTAAAGAAAACATTTCACAAGATAATCTAAAATAAAACTTACAGAAGGGCCTTGAGTTGCAGGATAACAGATAGGAAGTCTTCTCCTTCCTCATCCTGCATAATTACATCCTATTACTAAATGAATAAAAAGCAATAAGTCGTGGAAATATAATTAGTTTTTTATTTCTAAAAATTAGTACAGCTAATCTAAGGTGTTGGCATTCATCTTCCTGACACAAATTTTTGTCTTTATGAAGTTCATAAAATTTCCCGGAAATCCCACAGTCCCCTGTCTCCTCTGACTCAGAGCAATCAGACAAACACACATTTATTCAAACACACACACTACCTCCTTTGTACCGCTTTACAACCCATGCTTACAACAACAAACCTCACAAAAGTACTTATTCCGCTTCAACTTTATTTACATTTTGCCAAGTTACAATAGCAATTATTTAATTGTGATTGCAATTAATTAACAGAAATGGAAATAAATAAAGGTGTTGAGTGGGTATGTTTTGGTGGCCTTAGGATTGTGTCTCTGTTATTCGCAGATGATGGAGTTCTATTGGCTTCATCGGGGTATTATCTACAGCTCTCTCTGGAGTGGTTCGCACCCGAGTGTGAAGCGGAATGAGGATCAGTGCCTCCAAGGCCCCGTCCACACGAAGTCAAAACGAACACGAAACGCCAATATTTTCCAGAACGTTTGTCGTAAAGACGGAGACGTAAAATAAATGTGATCGTCCACACGAATGCATGAAAACGCTGCAAAATGTATGCCAGGCCTGTAAGTGGCGCTGTAGTGCCAAAGCAAAAATAGGCGACGAAATGTTGGGCATGCGCACTAATATTTATACATGGTTGCCCTGCGGGTCCATTTTCGTGGTTCAGTCAAATTCAGGTGCTGAACTATGTCGTCGATATTGCTCTGTTCTTCCTGGAGATATTCCAGAAGAAGAAGAGCACAGGGTGCCAGTGTAAGCCCAACAGCAGGGTGAGTAGCATGAGCAGCAACCATTCAACACAGTACGGCGCCATTGTTGTTGTGATACTGTGTCGCGCATGCGTGTTTAGAGGCGACGCTATGACGCATGCGTGTAAGAAAAAAAATGCGGTTAGAGCTTAAAGATGGAAACGCGAAAACGGCGTTTCAAAATCTTCCCACTCTGAAGGCTTAATAAAAAAAAGATCGTTTACAGACCCCAGAAAGGCCGGCTTCGTATGGATGAGAGGCTGGTTTGGTGAAAAATCTGTGCGTTTAGGCCAGGGTTTGGCTTCGTGTGGACGGGGCCCAAATCTGGGACCAAAAGGGTAGAGTGCCTTCTCTAGGTTGGGGAGGATATACTGTCCCTAGTGGAGGAGTTTAGGTATCTTGGGGTCTTCTTCACAAATGAGGGGAAGACGGAGCGGGAGATTGGCGGCGGCATCTGCTATGAAGCGTGCGCTGTACCGGTCTGTTGTGGTGAAGAGAGAGCTGAGCCAAAAAGCAAAGCTCTCGATTTACTGGTCGATCTTCATTCCTACCCTCATCTATGGTCATGAGCTTTGGGTCATGACCGAAAGAATGAGATCCCGGATACAAGCAGCTGAAATGAGTTTTCTCCGTAGTGTGTCTGGGCTCTCCCTTAGAGATAGGGTGAGGAGCTCGGTCATTCGGGAGAGGCTCAGTGTAGAGCCGGTTCTCCTCCACATCGAGAGGAGTCAGTTGAGGTGGCTCGAGCATCTGGTTAGGAGACCTCCTGGACGTCTCCCTGGTGAGGTGTTCCAGGCATGTCCCACCGGGAGGAGGCCCGGGGGGAAACCCAGGACACGCTGGAGGGACTATGTTTGTCATCTGGCCTTGGAGCACCTTGGGATTCCCCCGTAGGAGCTGGCCAAAGTGGCTGGGGAGAGGGGCATCTGGGCCTGCCTACTGAAGCTGCTACCCCCCCGACCCGACCGGGGAAGAAGCGGAAGAAGGAAATGGAAATAAATAAAAAAATAATTTCTGTTAAAAAAAGAATAAAATCCAGGGCAAAATCATATTATTGTTAAATAAGGTCTGTATCACTAAATCTCAACACCAGCCTCAAAGATTCATTACACATTCAGGTTACTAGGTTACCTACTATAGAGATTATTTATGGACCAAAATCAAATTTTTTTTTAGGTGCATATGAACATGTGCATAGAAATGGCTGAAAATTACCTCCACACGCCAACATAGCCTAATCATCCCTATTGAGCGGATGATGACTAAAGATGGACAAAAACTATCCAGGATAAAAGACTCTACTTTAACACACGCCAGTACTTATTGCCCCAATTAAAGTGTACATTGAATTGCTTTCCTGAAAAACTTTAAAATGAAAGAGCGATGTGCTAAAAAAATCAGTATGTGGCTAAATAAAAATGATGGAGATGATCATGTCGCTGATTCCAGACAGGATTGACAGAAAGGCTAAATACAGAACATGCCACTCCTTTCTGTGGTTGTTTCAGGACAGATGATGAAAGGTCAAAGATGGTTGCACACTTTTGCTAGACCTTTTGTACTCTAATCAAAAACAATGTCCGAACATCTAATCATCTTGCAGATAAAGCTGTATCTGTCATGTTAAAGATATAGAGTGATTGTAGCTCAAGAAACAACATGAACAGCTTAATACAGGTAGTATATATGCATTTGCTTTTAATTGTGATTTTAGGATGCATCCAAAAGCCCACAGAGATGTTGACCCGCTATTGATTACATGAGCTGCTGTAAGGGATCGTCATCTACCTGAATAAACCTTCATTCTTCATCCTGCTCCACAGGGAAGACAGAAACATCTTGGCTCCACATTTGTTGTAACCGTAAACACTTTTTATAAATGTGTGTCATAGGATCTGTGCACACAAATCACATTATGTATCCCCTTGTTTCCATGACAACACATGGTCCGGAATAGAATGCTCTGTATATAAAGGCATGACTATTGCTACTGATATGAAATTAATTGATGATACCTTTATCTCCTGTGGTACCTTCCTTTGTCTCACCGGTGATCAACCTCTGTTATGTTTCGCCCTCTTGGGTTTATTCATCCATTTATGCTCATAAATGGATCTTAGGTTATATTGGCACTGTGGTCAGAGGTTCTAGGTTTGTGTTTCACTATAAACACCATTTATCAGATGACTAAACACTGGTTTTCCAATATACATACTCAGTGGTAGGAAAATATTTTTACCAATGTACACTGCTAAGAAAAAAAAATAAAGGGAACACTCAAATAACACATCCTAGATCGCCACAAATGAAATATTCTCCTTGAACACTTTGTTCTCTACAAACTTGAATGTGCTGACAACAAAATCACACAAAAACAAGAGATCAAATTTATTAACCAATGGAGGCCTTGATTTGGAGAAATGCAAAATTAAAGTGGAGAAACTCTGGAAGCTGATTTATATTTGATGTAATGTCTTTAAACTAGGTCAAAATGAACCTCAGTATTGTGTTGCCTCCACGTTCCAGTATGACCTCCCTACAGCACCTGGGTATGCTCCTGATGAGGTGGATGGTCTCCGGGGGGATCTCCTCCCAGACCTGCAGATGTGCCCAATTGGATTCAGGTCTAAGGAACTGGGGGGGCAGGCCGTAGCTTATATGCCTTCAAGGTCTAGCATTGTTCTGCATTGGGAGGAACCCAGGGCCAACTGCACCAGCATATGGTCTCACAAGGGGTCTGAGGATCTCATCTCGCTACCCTAATGACAGTCATGCTACCTCCGGTGAGCACAGAGGGCTTTGCAGCCCTCCAATGAAATGCAACCACACACCAATACTGACTCACTGCCAAACCAGTCATGCTTAAGGATTTTGCAGACAGCAGATTGCTCTTTATTGTATCTCCAGATTCTGCCACATGTGCTCAGCCTTGACCTGCTATCACCTTTGAAGAGCACAGGGTGCCAGTGGTAAATTTGCCACTCCTGGTGTTCTCTGGCAAATGTGTTGGGTGTTGGGACACAACCCCTATCTGTGAATGTGGATCTAGGGCCCTCAGACCATCCTCATGGAGTTGGTTTCTAACCAATTGTGCAGACACATGCACATGTGAGGCCTGCTGGAGGTAATTTGTCAGGGCTCTGACCATGCTCTCCCTGGTCCTCCTAGCACAGCCCTCCTATGGCTTCTACATCTGTGCTGCTCTGTGGGTTGTTATAGGTAGTTTGGTTGCACATCAGCGGAGATAGCATCTGAGAGTATAATAACAAAATTATCTCAGAGAAGAAAAGAGTCAGCAAAAGAAAGGAAAACCTCTCCCATTTGGGAGTACTTTGGGATTACTGCTTCAAACTATTTAATAAAGTGTGTTTGAACACTTACTGATGGCAATTTCATCACTGTCTTACTTGTGTGTCATTGGACATACAAGTTTGTATTTAAGGTGAAGTTTTTGTTGTGTTGTTTGGAGCTGGTCTGCATTAATAAAACCTCATCAATGCTTCGGCATTAAAGAACCATATATGAGAAATTATACACTACAAATACCAGCCTGATTACGACATTTCTTCTTAAAATTATTTGACCCTATTTATCTATGTCAATGAAATTGTCTTAATCATTTATTGCCTAAACTGTCTAAATTAGCAGATGAAGAAACCTCCTTAGACCAGGCACTGTGAAAAAAGTCATATATCTTGATAAAATAACGAACACCCAAATACTCATGCACTAGAAATTAGAAATTCAGTTGTTTGATCTCCAATGACACAGTCTCACACAGGAGGAACAAACTGAATGCTTTTGGAG